TTTAGCCGATGTGCTGGATGTTATTTGAACCGATGGAACTTTAGAAAATCGGTCAACGCATACCAATATATATATTTTTGTTCCCCGTGTTAATGGTAACGGACAGATGAAGTATAGTTTCATTTTTTGGTTTGGTTCTTCGACCGTTGGGAGTTTTCCGAGATTATTATGGTTATTGATAGGTTTCAAATTTTTACCTGCTTTAACGCACTCGATGCAGTTTTCGCCATGGACTTGAATCTCGCGATAAATTTTTGGCCACCATATGTATTGAGTTGCCAGACTTTTCATCGCGAACTTGCCTGGGTGGGCATTATGTAGTCTATGAAGCATTGTCGATCTCAAACATGTCGGGATAACTAATCGGTCGTCAAAATAAAGACATCCTCCGCTGACATGTACATTATTAATATATGATTTATAATAATTTCCCAATTGTGTAATATCTTGTTTACGGTCTTCCTCAATTGCTTTAATGATTTTTCCAACACCAGGTCTTGTTTAGATAATAAAGACATAAATTTTGAATCGAATATTTCAGGCCACGAGAATGGAAATGTTTTCAATTTAGCTGACTTCGAGCTTTTTTCTTTACAAGTTGTTCTTTCCGAGGGATTGCCCGATGGGTTACTAGTACTTGGTGTTGGAGTATTAGTGTTTTCAATGTTGGGATGTTCAAGTTGTTCAGTTAGTTCGAGTTGTTCGGCCATATCTTTCAGAGTTTTATAGTTAGTTGAAAAATCGATAATTTTGCAAGATGGATCGCAGACTTCCATTCGTGAATGTAAATTTTGGCACACTGTAAATGTAAGTGTTCAAAAATAGCTTGGAAAGTTTCAGCGTCATTCACAATTCGTTTCTCACGTTCTATTTCTTGACTGGTCAAATGATCTATCGACTGGCCGATCGTATTGCACTGTGTGACGTCATGCGCTAAGACTTGTTGAGAAAATTTATTTTTTATTTGCGGCCAAGAATATCTAGGCATCAAGTGATCGAAACCTAGGAGAGTACTAATTTGGTTTACCAAAAAGATAACGAAATTCTCGTCGTCGAGCGAAACTGGTACGGGTTCACTTGATGGGTGTCGGGATAAATAATCGACAAATCCTATGTCCTTGCCCGGTAAATGTCCGACGGTAAAGTCGAAAGGTAATAAATTGTCCGCCCAACAGGTGAGGCGCGATTGAGCCGTTTTTTGTATTTGTCGTCTTTTAGCGCTCCAATTAAAGCTTTGTGATCCGTTAAGATGAAGAATTGTTTGCCTACTAGGTACTTTTTGAAATGATCTAATGCCCACACTAGACCCAGCAATTCGAGTTCATTGGTACTATATTTTCACTCGGCTACGTTCAAGAATCTGCTAGCGAACGCTACGGTTTTCCAAATTCCCCGATAGTCTTGTTCGACGGACGCGCCCAGTCTTAAATGTGATGCGTCGCATTTCACTCTGGTATTCAGGTTTACGTCAAAATTGTTGTTGGTTACCGTGTTGCATATTTCTTTTTTAGTTTTTTCAAACGCCTCGGCGTGCACCGTAGATCAATTAAATGGTTTATTCTTCTGCATAAGTTCTCTAAACGGTGCTGATAAGGACGCTAAATTTGGTATGAACTTGTTGAACTGGTTAATCGATCCCATTAGTGATCTTATATCTTTGATACAATTTGATTCTTTTAGATTTCTGATTGCGTCAGATTTATGTATTAGTGGCTTCGTCCCTTCCGCATCGATTTTGAATCCCAGCCATTCTATTTTATGAGTCAAAAACGTGCATTTTTCAAATTTAATGGCCAATCCTTCTTCGTCTAGTGTTTTTTAAACGTTTATAACTAGTTTTCGGTGTTCGTCCTTGCTACCCACGGTAGCAATTAAGATATCGTCAATATAACAATGAGTATTTGGTAATTTTTCCGTCATACGGTCCATTATGCGTTGGAATTCGTTTTTAAACGATAGGAACCTGTCACGTCTCCCCCCACGATATTGAAGTTACATTGGTTGCTTGCTTTTTTGGATAGTGGTATTTGACTATAAGCATACTTTAGGTCGATTGATGAGAATCAAATTTTACTTTCGTCGTGTCCACTAATTGTTACTGCTACGTTATCGATTGGTTCAAATAGGTTCGGAATTTGATATCTATTGCGAAATATCTATTTGTTTAGTAATTTTGAGTTTAACGCTAATTTAATCGATCCGTCCCTTTTAGCTGTAATTACAATAGGGGAAATAAACCAATCTTCAGAGCATCTGGACAATTTTTCAATGTGACCATCTCTTAATAGTTGGTCGATGCATAATTTCACCTTTGGGAGAAGATGGATCGGAATGTGTTTCCCCTTAACCTGTATTGGTTTTATCGGTTCGTTGAAGTAGGTGTTAACAATAAAATTTTTTGATCTACCGGATCTTTTTATAAGGTCAGAAAATTGACTTGATATGTATGCTTTAAACTCACTTTGTAATGGTGTGTCTTGGTCCTGGTCTGGTTTTCTGTCCGATGCGATTTGTTAGTTGAAATTTCTCTGACGATTTTTCCCAGTCGTGTTGATTGTCACTCGATGTGATATTCCGAAAACACTCTAGTCCTCGTCTCGTAGGTTCGACTCGTTTGACTGCGCCATGTTAAAAAATTAGGATAAAACCGTTGATTGGTCAAGACTGTTAACTTAAACTAAGACTAGTTTAAGACTTGTTGATTTAAGATCCCTACTGTTTCGTTAGTAGGCTTTTATCTAAGACTAGATTAAAAGACTATAGAGTAATTAAACTAAGCTAAAAGTTAAAGTAAAACGGTTGAATTAAGAATTAGTTACACAGAATCGGTTCGTATCAATAAAGATCAATGATCGATATCCAGATCCACCAAAAACCGTTGCGCTTTTGGCAGGTATTTAAATTAGCATGGTCGTGACAACACTAAGTATAACTTAAAGGTTAAACTGTCAACGATAAGATATCACATTTGACTTTCCCCGCGAAAATTTGGCTAAAACATAACTAGCCCGCACTGGTGTTTCATCGATGATATTCTATTATATTAGGTTTTGAATGACAAAAATATTGAACCACGTAATTATAATTGCCAGTTTTAAAGCCTAAATTCATTTTTAGTGGATTTTAATTGATTTTTTTTATTACAATCAATCCATTATAACCCATTTTTTGTCCTAATAATCGTTTTTTTTTAAACAAAAAATAATGAAAATGATTTCTTTTTTCACAGAAATCCAATTGATTTAAAAAGAAAGCTAGAAAGCTAGAAAACGAAAAACGATGAAAAAACCAAGATAAATTTTCAACTAAATTTTGAACAACATGAAACAAAAGAAACGAAGCCAATCCATAAAAACATGTTTTTTTCTGGCTGTTTTTTTCTTGTGGCACTTCTTTACCTCCCCCATCCCTCCCTACTCCTCAATTTTTTTTACCATTGAACGGTGGCTACACAATGTAAAATCTATCTCTGTACCTTCCCCCCCCCCGCTCCCAAACTTTTTACCATTGAACCATTGTCACTCAACGTAAACTCCGCCCTATTCAGGGGCGGATCTAGGATTTTCTCGAGAGGGGGGGGGGCGGATTTTCAAAAATTTTGTGGACCGTTTTTTTTAGGTCGACCAAATTGCCTGAAGCACTAAAAAGTCCTTGTTTTGGTCAAAATTTGGCTCTTTTTCCTCCCTCCCCCCCCCCCCCTCCCCCCACCTCACACAAGCTTCAATATATTAGTGTAACGAGTGGTTTTACGAGGTTGAGTATGAAAACCAAATATGTTTGTCGTGGCCTTATTAGTCTGTATGTAAATTTTCATAACAATCGGACTATGTGGTCAACAAATTTACACGTAAAAAATTGCAGGTGGGGGGAAAAGGAAAAAGAGCCCAAAATTTTTGCGCTGCAGGCAATTTGAAAAAAAAAAATAGGCCAAAAAAAGGCAATTTTAGGTATCTTTTTAAAAACTTTGACCAAAAAATTGCGTTTTTTTGGCGCCCCCTCCCCCACCTCGAAATTATTATATATTGGCGTCTTTAGGAAATTTTTAGGGTCCGTCACCAAAAAGGGATATTTCAAAATAGTTTAAAAAAATGCGAGTCTGCATGGGGTCGAATCCCTGAGGGGGGGGGGGGGGGGGGGCGTCCGCAGCTCCCCCTAAATCTGCCCCTGACCATAATTACCCCCAATTCAACCCTTCTAACATTTTTAACTGTCCCCACCACTCACCTTCAGTCGACTGTGGGTGAGAATTTTCGCTGGGTAAACTGGTGAGGTGGTGGGGTAAAGGGGGAGGGGAGTAAACTGGGGATGGGTGCCTAGAAGAATGATTGGAGTTTACGTTGAGTCAACCATCCTCCCCTCGTTCAACCATCCCCATTCCCCCTTCAACCATTAATAGCCCCCTGAACAATTTTCAACCATTCAACCCCCTTCACTTGAACGTGAGGGGCAGTGGAAGAATGTCGTTAGTCTATTTCAAAAAAAGCGAGATTCATTGAGTTAGAAAGTTTCTGAAATCGAGGTATAATTATTGTTGTTGTTTGAAACAAACAATTTTTTTCGGTTCATTTGATAAATTAAAAGTTCATCAACTCTGTTAAGGTATTAGTATTCAAATGTCAAAGCACATGCTATGAAAAAGCCGAAGAGGTGCTCCGAAAGTGGCAAAAATATTTGCGACTTAGGTTGGAAAAAAAAAGAAAGTTAGTACTAGTACACTCGCTTCGCAAGTGTAACGAAACGTAAAACGTAGCAACTCCACTAAACAGGAAATGAGATAACGTCACAAAATTTTTACAAAATTCATTTTGTAACCTCTGAACAAAATCTATTATAATCGATTATAGTCGATTAAAATGGATTCGATTGATATAAAAAATTTTGGGATTATAAGTCATTTTTAATCGATTATAAACGATTATAATTGATTGGTCGCGTAATGAAAAGTTTTCACCATCGGTGGAAAGTTTCTTTTAAATAAATTTCAATTAAGCGTGTTTTAGCCCGATGTATGCGCTTCGCGTATTTCGTATGCTGTTGCCACGGAGACGTGTTTTTTGTACTTGGCTAATCACAGCAGCTATAATTTATGCTGGCTATTTTCATCTTCATACGCCAAAAGAGAAACAATCCAAAGACATCTCTCATCAACGCCGTTATAATCACAATGTTGATGTCGACCAGGGGAGGAACAAGAACGACGCAGATGAAAGAACGGCGCGTTTGGACTATAAGGGGGTGAACATGTTGGTCACGGAGGGGGAGTCGTCGGTGTTTCCTAATCAGTGGAAAGAGGGCATCAAAGATCCATTTTATAACTTGACAATGGCTGGCAGCGACAACAGTCCCGGTGAGTCATCAAATCATTGCACAATTTTTCTCGCAAATTGTCGTCCATAAAATTATATGCGTGTTTTCCAGTCAAAACCGATATCCATTAAATCAAAACTGACCATAATTGACAAAATGAACTTCCCAATAGTAAAGATTTGCTTAGAATATAAGATTGTTTGAATTTGAACATATAAAATACCTTTTTTGAAATGATAACATTTCTCATATAATGGCTGAACAGTTTTCTCATTTTTATATTTCCTTCTTAAATGTCAACTATTACTTTTGGCGAGTAAATTTGTTTTGATTGACTCTTCAGGCCAAGATGGAGCGGCAGTTGTGCACATTGGGGCTGAGAAGGAGGAGGCGGAGAGGAGGTTCAAGGAGAACAACTTCGACATAGTGGCCAGCGACAGGATACCCCTCAACAGACGAGTGAGGGACTTCAGACACCAAGACTGCAACAACCTCACCTACGACACAGGTACAGACAAAACAATCACCCCAATGCCTCACTCCAAACTCCGACCATGATGGCATAACAATTAGTAGCACAGAGGCTTAGCGCTAATTGCGGTACAATGCAAAAAAGCCGCTCAGAAAAATTCGATAACGTCAAAAAACTCGATAATGTCAAAAAGCTTAATCTATCAAAATGAATAAAACTAGCTAGTTTTGAAAAAATAATGACTAGACCATAAAGTTTGAAATAAGCATCAGAAGAAACTTGTCAAGTGGCAACAAAGTCGAAAATACCTGAGCAGAAAACTTATGAGCCAAAAAAGTAATTCAGTGTTTTTAAGTCACCCTCTCCATCAATAAAACACACTCAGACGCACATAAAACTTTCTGCAAACGCTAGCATGTTCAAAATGTGTCTGTTGCAGTATTTTAACAGAGGGGACAGATGAATCTTGTGAACAATTTTTTTCTAGGTGAAAAAAAATCTATTACGCGGTTGAGTCGCACTTGCTTGAGTCCGTGCTGTTCCAACTAAGCTGCCAGAAAAAAGGCAGACAAATGAAAGGCCTGCATTTATTTTTTTGAGCGAAAAATTATGGTTCGCACAAAAGAGCAACCTCTGGTAGGATTTTTACCCTGGAATATTGTCCTCGCAGGCACGTATGTAACCTCTGCGCCATATATATGTATACAAAAGACGTTGAAACGATTATAAATAAAGCTATTATAACATTGAGCGGTTCTGATAGAATTTGAAATCCTTTTCCATTGTGGCAATTTAGTGCGAGAAAAATGACCCGAACAAACAAAGCCAATGACCTTTTTTGCAAACATTTTGTCGCATTTGCAGTTACTGGCATAAATTAATGTAATGTACACAATATTCGTACTTCGCACCACTTGCGATAGAAAAATGAATGACCGTGATTAAATCAAAACAAAAGAAAAATCAAAAACCTAAATGAACCTTCAAAAATCATTTTTGTCACAACACTTTATGAAAATTGCAAAAAAACAAAAGATCTGGAACAAAATTAGCTGCACTATTAAAAATTTTGAAAGGAAGCTTTTGGAAAATAGAAAAAAAAACGAACTATTGAAAAAATTTTCTGTGGGAACTAAGCCGGCAAAAATAAACAAGTCCTGACTGCAATCTCGGGCTTTGACGCAACTTCGAAGAAAGCTGAATTTTCAAAAACAAATGTCTAAAGGGAACTAAGCTGACAACAATAAGCAGACAGACGATAATCCGAAAAATTGAAAGTTCAAGTTTGCAAAAAAAAACAGGACCTTGCCTAATGTAAACCACATTTTTTGTTGTCTCAAGCAGATGAGTTACCTCTACGTCAGATAGTTGAACGAATTTGAATTTTTAACTAGCGGACAGAAAAACGAAGCCAGTAAGTCCAAAAAATTGTGACTAGATTCGTGTTCTATTAGCGGAAAAAAGATCCAGAAACACAATTGGAGGAGATTAATGAAAGATAAAAAAACAAGGGGCAACCGAGCCGACAAAGCTTGAAAAAATTTCCGAATAACCAAAAATACAATTGTTAACATGAAAAACTTTAAATTATAAATTCTTGTCTTGGAACTTCAGCATTTTCTTTGATCCGGAACGAAACATAACACTTAGGCTTCTCTTGAAACGACCCTAAAATAAATCCCTGAGCCGATACATAGAAGCCGAAGTTAATGAAGTTGAAAAGAATGTTTAGCGGAATAAAATTTAATAAGCACTAAAAGCAACTACATTGAAAACTGCGCGCAACAATTCAGCTTTAGGAGGTGCAACTAAGCCGACATAACATAAGCAGACAAACAATAGGCCGACATTTTTGCAAAAGGATTATTTCCAGTTTGAGAAACATTCCTGGTCAGATTCGAGCCAACAATTTTTGGCGTCCCAGGCGTACCCTTCGCCTCCAGGATACATGCTGGAGACGCATAAAAATTTGACTTTGCAATGAACCAAGATACACGTGATTCTGTTAAACAAGTTGCTAACCCGAAAAAAAACTATATTCTGATTTGATAACGCTTGCTAATAGCAAGCAAAATCACAGCCCCTTTGGACTGTTAAAAACGAGTTTTTTTGCGGCTAAATTCTCGACTTCCTTTGAAATTGGTTTATATCCAAAAAAAATTAACATATTTCATGTTTATTTAGTAATTAGATGCAATTACATAGACTATTGAGATGCATTCAGGGCTGCTTTTTTATGTTGCTAGCTAAAGTGATCAAATAACGCAAAGAAGATGAAGTTTTTCTGCTCGGGGGTGTTTCCTTTTTCTTAAGACAAATTGTAATTTTGTAACAAACCACATATGATCGGAATTTTTATAATCTGATGATATAAAAATTCCGCTCATATGTGGTTTGTTACAAAATTACAATTTGTCTTAAGAAAAAGGAAACGCCCCCGAGCAGAAAAACTTCATCTTCTTTGCGTCATTTGATCGGGTATTGACGCCCTCAGCTCAAATTTAAGAAAGTATTTCAGAAGTGATCGGGAGAAAATTTTCATTTTTGCCATTTGTCAAATTGGGAAATTAACGCGCAATGTCTCTCGTCGATTAAAGCATAAACGACTGTTTGGGGAAAAGTAATTAAGACAACATAAAAAAAGCGAAGAAATTGCAAACCTCAACTTGAATACCTCACTTGAACACTTTGTTTCCGACAGATATTACTTCAATTCAAACATCTTTTGCAAGTTCTGTTTCAAACGGATTTTGCGGGTCCCCGGATCACATACCTATCAATTTTGTATCATTTTGCGTGTGGTTTTGGAGCGGTTACACAAGGTAATTTTTGAACACCAAAAAATCGGAATATTCTAAATATTCATCATATCAATAATCAGTGAGTAAAAAAATGATGCAAAATTTGCCGGTGGGAGCACAAGAAGAACTTTTTGCTTAGGAAATTTCTTGGCTATCTTCAAAATTTTCAAACACAATTTCAGAGGTTCCCAAAATACGAAATAAAATTGATTTGTGGAAAAAATTTCTAGCACCGCAGCCATTTTGATAAAAAACCAGCTTTTTTACCTTTGAAGGAACTTTTTCTTCTAGTTCAGAGTCGTTTTAAGCTTTTTTGACGCACGCTCTTTTCTTTCAAAATTAGTTATTGTTGGGAGGTGATGTCTGGGAAAAGTATTTTGGAAGAGCTCAAAAAATGAGATTGTTCGACCTAAAACATGTCGAAAAATTTTTCTGAAATTTTCTTCTCGCAGATATTGCAAAAATCTTGAATCAGCAACCTTGATTTTCAAATTACAACACTTGCCTCCATTTTACGTCAGGAAAAGAAGTTCTGTTTTTTCTACTTGATTTTTGTTCCGACCATGGAAAATGGAGAGGAACTTCGGATTCGGGTGTGTTTTAGTTTTTTACACGCAAAATCAAGTACTACAAAAAAATCGTCGAACAGGGTTGAGTGATATATCAAATTAAAGCCCTTTTAGTCGTGATTCGAACGACATATAAAAATTTGGGAACAGTTTTCACAGTGTCAAGAAAAACCGGTTTAAAATTTATGATTTTTGGTCTAATTTCCAGCTAATTAGTAAGATACTTGGTAATTGCAATAGCTTATTTAAGCTTAATTTAAACCGCTAAAACTTAGTTATACTCAAGTAAAGGTAGTTAGCACAATTTTGGGAATCAAAACTTGAAAATTCAAAAATTTCCGCACAATTTTTTTTTTCGTTTTTCCAGTCATTTTTCTTCAAAAACTGTTTTCCAATCGAATTTATTTACTATGACTCTCAAATATGCCTAAAGTCTATTTTTTTTGTTCAGATTTTTTTATCACAACATGCAGAAAAAAACTACACCAATTGAAAAAACATTTATTTATTTTCTTAAGATTGTGGTCGAAACATTCTGTGCTACTTGCACAGTAACCGGCTATCCTTGTTCTTGTCTAAATTTGTCTGCTTTGTCTTCATCTAATTTTCCTTTTGTCCAATTTCACATTTTCCGGCTATAAAATCCCAATCAGAAACAAATCTAACATAAAACAAGGATAGCCGTTTACTGTGCAAGTAGCATAGAATGTTCCGACCAAAATCTTAACAAAAAATATACCTAATTTTTTTTCAAATTAGCAAATTTTTCTGCCAGGTGGGATAAAATGATCTGGCGTAAAGCTAAAACTTAGACATAATCGACAGTTATAGTAATATACGCAAATTGTACAATTTTTTTTAGTAGAAAACTAACTAAACAAACAAAAAAAAAACAAAAAAAAACCATTGAAACATTTTTAAAACAAATTCGCAAAAAATTTTTCGAATTTTTAAAAAAAGGTTTTGGTTCCCTGATGGCGCCAAAAACTAGTTTTGCTCGCTGAAAGCTAAGTTTTTAGGGCTTAAACTAAGCATAAATCAGCTGTTGTAAACCTCGCTCGCTTCATTCGCTCGAAATTGAAATAAAATCAAAAGTTTGAAGCCAAACTTTCTCGATACTGAAAAAACTTTTTGAAATTTTTTAAAATCGTTCAAATCAAGACTGAACGGGCTTTAATTTGGTACATCATTCGACTCATTTTGATGATTATTTGTGCTACCTGATTTTGCATGAAACAAAAAAGAAAAAGAACAGAAAAAAAAACATCCGAATACAAAGTTCCTCCACATTTATCAGATGGTGGAAACAAAAAGACAAGCTATTGGGTTTTACAATTATGTTACAAGACGCTAAATGCATTTATTTACAATATTTTTTTTTTTAATTTCATCATTTTTCAAAAATCTTTTAGTAAAGTTACATCAAAAACTATTTCAATACGAGGCCAAACTGTGCACTGGATAGGCGCACAATTTTGTGTCTGTATGTTTCTGGATTCCAGAGACAAGTATTAAAACATGTTCCAAAATGTAAAGAGACTCCACTTACACAAAATCAGTGGATTCCGCGTACAAATACCTGTAACGTACACTTTGTCAGCACTATGATTTTGTTGCGGATTCCACAACGATCGAGCAAAGGTAGTTGTTCTGGATTCCGCAAATGTTAGCGGATTCCGCAAATAAAAAGCGGAATCCGCAAATTTATGCGGATTCCGCTTACAATTTGCGGAATTCACTTACAATTTACGGATTTTGCTTACAATTTGCGGATTCCGCTTACAATTTGCGGACTCCGCTACATCTAAGTTTACTATACACATATATGATTATCTGATCATGGATTCCACAAACTGGTTCCGGATGTCACACAATTTATAGCGGATTCTGCAAATTTGCCTGTTTTGAAGCAATTTTGAGCAATACAGTGTTTCAGTTATTTGTCCCTGGAATCTAAAACAGTAGAGAAGATCAAAGGAAAATAGCAATGTTTCGGATTCCGCGACAACTCAGATTTTTGCCTGTTGCGGAGTCTGCTTACAGTTCACGAAATGCACAGTTTGGCCTCGTAATGCTCGTAAACTTTAATGTGTAGTCGGAACATTCAGGGCTTCGACAGGGCAAAAAAGTTTAAAATAATCTAACGCAAATCCAAGAATAGCTTGTGTCTGTCAGTGAAATATTTGATATGCTCACTTCGCTCATGATCAACCCTCAAAACAAAAATTTTAAAAACTGATATAGTCGATGCTACATCTCTGTTTAGATCTTCCCTCTACTTCGATAATAGTCATCTTCTACAATGAGGCTCCGTCTGTTCTCCTCCGAACTGTCACCAGCCTCCTCAACAGAACTCCGCACAGTTAGACTTTCATTCATTTTCACAGCACAAATCATCGCCAAGAACTCATGTATAAGATAGAAAAAACGCAAAACAATTGAATGAAAACACTTCACTGGAAAATTGAAGAAAAATTGACCATGGCAACCGAAAGTCGCGATAGAAGCGTTAAAACTCTATTTGCCATCACGCCTACATCACTTTTTTTAGATTACGCGATGTCCCTACTAGCCCAAAAAACTTTTAGCGGCGTTTGAAACGGCAATATATGCTAATTTGGAGACTCGAGAGCGTTCCAAAAAAGCTATTTTTGGTCAAAATATTCAAACTCAGAGGCTTCGCACCACTGATAGATCGCAAACAAAACATGACGAGTAAGCAGAAAGAAAATCGGATAAAAATAAAAACCGCTGAGTTTCAAAATTGTTTGCAAAAAACTAGATGATCTATCAATTTTTTCATACGTTTGTGTCTGTGGTACTGCGGTTGCAGTAACCTTGAGTGACAACATAGCTATTACTGCAGTTGCAGTAAACGTATTTATTGATGTTATGTAATTAAGCTATTGATTTTATAACGTATGTGTGGTCAAGGCCAACTGTGGTGTTTAGAAGTTTATTTATTATTAAATCAAGGCGCCATACGCATGTATGGAGTAAGCCAGCTAAATCTGAGCTACGATCAAAACAAGAAAAGAAAAGAACCTGAATTCAGCTCTTAGATTATCCGTGTTTTACTTATACAAGAACAACTGAGTTTTGGGGTTATCACATGGCGCAGTCAGCAAGATTTCTGTCTCAAGACAACAGGACTGACATGGTAATCCCGGTGTTCTGGACCACGGCAAATTCCGATCCTCTGTAAAATTTCAAAGTGTGGCTTGATCAGTTCCTAATGGCCGTGACAGTAAAGGAAAACGTAAATCCGGAGATAATGTTGGAAGACCCAAAACCTGAAATAGAGGAACCAGAACCGAGACCGAAGACACCTCGTACAGGTGAGGATGCGAACGCTGTAACAGTTCGCGAGACACGGGATAGATTGATGCGAGATCGTGTAACAGAAGAAAATTCCGAAAGAAGAGAAAGCGGACCGAAAGTAGATCATAACATCTTGTATAACGAAGTGCAAAAGCGTTTAGTGTCAGGGTTATTTCTTGCTTTGGGGACTGAGGGAAAAAACTGGTTGTAAAGAAAAATCCACACGAGGAATTTTCGAAGCTGGAATTTAAAGAAATGGTAAGATTGGCCAAAGCCACATCCGAAAAATCCCAAAGCGTTACTTACGAACGTTACAAATTATTCAATAGATCGCAGGAAACGGGTGAATCTCTGGAGGTGTTCAATGCGGCGTTAACTGCGCAGGCAGCGAAGTCCGCAGTGGATACTTTGGAAAATGAATTAGTAAGAGACTTTCCCGCTCTACAAGACACCCTCACGTTTGAAACATTACCTCCAGACGAAATACTGAAAAGAGCGTTGAAGTTTGACTAAAGTAAACAAACTACACAATCGTTTCAGAAATCAAATATGAAAACTGCATCAACAAAATCCGGATCATAAATTAAAACTAAAAAAGAACCAATATTGGCAGTAAGAAACAGAGGTCAAACGAAAAAACGATATAATCGAGACAGGTTTAAAAGACAACCTGAAGTGAGAACAACTGCAAGTATAATAACGACACGGAAAAGAAAGCATGCAGTCGATGTGGAAAATCATTTAGAGAAGGGCATCTTAAAAATTGTCCCGCAATGGGTAAACAATGCAAAAACTGCAAGAAATCAAACCATTTTGCACGTATGTGCAGATCGCAAGTGAATGAGATAACTGAAGTGACCGAGAGGTCGGCAAAAAAGTGTAACTTAATACAGACAATCGACTCTTGTGTCGAGTTCGAAGTAAGGTCAATCGAATCAAAAAGTAACCAAATTGAAAGTATCAACAGTTATATACAAAGACGAATGGTAAACAAACAAAATTGTGAAAAAATTTCAAATGATTAATCAGATGTTCAAAAAATTGAGATATGAGAGATCCAAAGTCAGAGCGTGTAAAGTCACTAAAAGCATTGGTGAGAGTGGATCATCAGATCATTAACATGACTGTGGATACAGGAAGCCCAATATCCTTTTTAAACTGGTCCACAGCAAAAATTATTCTGGATTCATCGGACAAAGCAAAATTTACAACAGCAGAACGTCTCAACTTGCCGGCGCAGTTCGTGGACTATAATAAAAAACAACCTATTGTACTACTTGGTGCCCTCAAGGCAACCATACGTTCGGCAGAATGAGAAGTTAATGACATTTCTAATTACTGAACGACCCACAAGATGTATCCTGGGGCTCGATTTACGAAACAAAGTGGGGAATAGCACTTCTAAAAAACCGGCCATGAAGGAAAAAACTCGATTCGATGTGTTAATGTGTGAGCAGTCGGATATCTTTTATTTTATTCGAAAAACCAAGACCTTTTGACCGTCAAGGACGATCGATACATCACGTGGTTAACACAAAATTTAAGTACCCTTGTGTTCCATTCAGCAGAAAGGAGAAAGGTAGACAAATACCAATACATGTGCACGAAAAAGTTGAAAAAGAGATTAAAAAGTTGCTGTCGGATGGGCACATTCAAAAGTTAGACAAATGCACAAGTGACTGTTTCATAGGTCCCATTGTCATTACGGTAAAAAACGATGATTCAATTAAATTGGTTCTAGATGCGAAACAAATCAACAGACAACTATTCAAGAATAAGTACCAGATGCCGAAGGTAGCGGAGTTACTCGATGGAGTAAGCCAAACTGTGACTGCAAAAGCAGTAGGTACCTTATACTTCACAGTTCTTGAATTAAATTATGCATACAGTCAACTGAAACTAACGACGGAAACTGCTAAACAATGCAACTTCAACATAGTGCGGGGCAGGCGACCGGTACGTATCGTTTTCTTATTGGACTCTATGGTTTGGCTGATATGCCAGCCGAATTTCAAAAGGCAATGGATCGCACCCTGAATCATTCAAAGAACACGTTTTGTTTTTTGGATGACATATTGATAGTTTCGAAGGGATCGCAGACTGAACACGAGAAATTAATCACGGACTTATTAGTGAAATTAGACAAAGAAAACCTATCAAGTGCGAATTTTTTAAGACTGAAGTCAATTGGCTCGGGACACAAGTTATCCGAAAGCGGAGTTACGCCCAAACTTACAAAAACGAAAGCCATATTGATTTTAGAACATCTGAAATCACTTAAGCAACGTAGGTCTTTTTTAGGGAGTATAAACAATCTTTCGAAGTTTATACCCAACGCCGCTACTCTTACGGATAAACTACGACCGCTGTTACGAGAGGAAAATGAAAAAAGGATTTGAAAAACATAAAACTACCGGTAAAAAAGTTTGAATGGGGGGAGAATCACTCAGAAGTTTTTGAGTAAGCCAAAAACGCAGTTGCCAATATCGCAAAATTAAACTATAATGACCCCTTAAAACAAACACGGGTGAAATGTGACGCGAGTCACCGTGGGTTGGGGGCATCGTTGGATTAACAAACGTTGGGGGGCATCGTTGGATTGGGAGGGGGATTGGATTTCAATCTCGTTCGCTTCAAGGTATTTGAATAGTCAGGAAAAAATATTCCACGAATGAACTGGAACTGCTGGCAGTTGTTTGGTCAGTGGATCGCTCTAAACATTATTTACTAGGGAAGGATTTTGTGAAAGTAACTGATCACATAGCACTAACATCTGCCTTAGAAGGAAATCGTTCGAATAAAACAGATCAATCGAGACTGACACGTTGGGTAGATAGAATATTACCATGCCAGTTTAAAATAGTACATATTCCTGGAAAAGATATGGGTATTGTTGATTATCTATCAAGAGAACCGACCGGCGAGCCATGGCCGGAATCAGTGTTAGACGAAAAATTCGTGGTTACTTCAGTTGAATGTTTTCATAAAGCAGTAGGCTCAACGATATGTTTTATGTTTTATGCCTACGTTTTATGCCTACTGTTTGTTTTCAGAAGATAACGGAGGAAGAAGTAACCGAAACAACACTCCACAGGACGAGGCGAATAAGAAGGGGAGCGTTGGATAAATCTGGATCGGGCAGCCTAGAGGAAGATAACACGATGGATAGAGCAGTAATGTGGAATCATGACGCTGCGGAGACAAAAAATTTGCTTTCATTGTGGGATCTTGTGAGCCAGAATAGAGAGTATACAGAGCATATTCAAGAACTAGAGGCGGTAACCCAAATGTTTCCCAACAGCCCTAAAACCAGAAGTAATAGATCGGAGTCACTAGCGAAAACGATAATAAAGGTGGACCTAGCAGGAGAGGACAACGATTGCAGCCCTGAAGTGAGTGTCGTGCAAAAGGCAACAAGAACTAAACGAAATTCTCGAAAGGAGGAGAAAACAGAAGAGATACTGGGAAACGTGGGTATGTTCAGCTTGGCCAAACTATTTGACGAAACTTTGCTGTCGGGGCTAATTTCAGAAGATGTATGGATGCACCGCCTAAGTAGAGCCATCGAGAGAAACAATCGGGCAGGTTTTGAGTTGATGTACACAAACCTTTTATGGAACCAACTTTCCGTCGTCGATGATTATATTTTGGTGGACAATCGCCTTGCAGTGCCAGGACAACTTCGACCGGCGGTGTTGAATAGAATCCATCGGGGTCATCCAGGACAAGAGGCAACGCTCCACGTATCCAATTACTTATGGTGGCCTCATATGCATAAGGACATTGTCAATTTAGCGGAAGAGTGCAGGGAGTGTAAAAGATACGGTAAGAATGCAAAATATATAATCCCGAAAAATTCTTCGAAACCTCTTCCACTGCTATCGCAGCCAGGACAAGACGTTCAGCTGGATTATGCTGGTCCCCTAGAAGATTATAAAGGAACAAAATCTATCTGCTAGTAGCAATCGACAGATACTCTAGGTTTCCTTCGATCAAGATTACGAAATCGACGGGGGATTAATCTTCAATAAAATTTTTACGCTATTACATCGACACTCATGGAATACCTGAATTGATAAAAAACAGACCAATTTTTTGGGTTTCAGGGGAAGGCGATGAAAAAATTTTGCCTGGATAAAAATATTGAACAAAATTTTTGTCCGTTGGGTGACCATCGGGCGTGTGGCTTAATCGAACGAACAATTCAAACATAAAAGCGAAGATTAGGAGTCATGTTGCTTGATGAAAATCAATCAAACTCTGTATTGGTACAATCATTCGGGATATGCGTTGGACTAAACAAAAAACAATTCAGCAGTCGCCATTGGAAGCACATTTAGGCAGGCTGCCAAAAACTGAATTTAAAATTTTACGCGATAAGTTCTTTCAGAATTTTGACTTATTAGATAAGCAGCATCTGGAGAGGTAAGCGCTGACCGCGAACCAGCTGAAGAGGCGGATAGACCAATCTCGGTACTCTTTAAAAATTGTAAGAAAAGGACAATGAAGCAGGGAACGTAGTCCGCTGTTCAAGCAGCAAACCAGAACGGCACAAGACAGGGACCGAGCAAGAACACTTAAGGCGTTACTTGAGGCAAACGCAAAGTGGAATGCCGAACGTCGCAGGCTGGCAGGTCAAGATTTGCACCAACTTGTTGACGATACAAGCGCAATTGACCCAGAACTAAGGAAAGAGCCGTTGTATTCATGGGAACGCGGGTTTGTCGAAGATAAACCCACGGTTTCAGTGAAAAGCCATCACAATCTACTACGCCGGGACAAGCACCGGAAAAGTGGGGCGGCGTTGACTAATCCTCTAAAAAAAGGTTGTAACAGCGGAAACACCAACGACTGTAACAACAGCTTCGGGTTCGTTATATAGGAAGAATGATTTAGCAAAGGCGGCAATTCCGCTGAAAGGGCTACCCAATTCGGAAGGAAAAGAGGGTCAAAGAGGAAAGCTGAAAAGCCCCTTGAGGAGCCGAGAAGTAAACACCAGAAAAAAGATATAGAGCCGGCGTTAGAAACTGAGTCGGAGGAAGAGTCACGAATTCAGTTGGATGAGCAAGCAAAGGAACTTCCCCAAAACAGTGACACAGTGGTCATATCCAAGGAAACCCCTATAGGAGGCAGACTAAATTTGGCACTTAGGAGAGCTAAGCCAAACCAAAGAGGCCCAGCGTCGGTGGGACCGAAATCGCAGGAGCAGATTGCGATGAAGCTCAAGGGGAAGAAACCAATTCAGGAGAAGAAAACAGCTGCAGCAGCAGTAGAGAAACAACTATTGCCGAGATCATCTGATCCGGTGGATACACAAGAGCCTTCAAGTAGTTCGTGGTCACCGAGAAAAACATCAAAAACCATACGGATAAATAGAGATAATTCACCGATCACAATCTTGAACGCGTTTCAAAAGCAGGACATGGCCCCAGAAGAGTGGGACGAGTTGGCGGACCAAGTTTTAACAAGGGGAATGCAAAAATCAGCGGAGGAAACTTTGAACGCAAAAGATTCGATGTCTGAAGAACATGTGACGGGTGCCACAGGTCTCCTCCCCCAGGGTTCTCTGACGAATCAATGGTGGACTAGCAGACGGGAACAATGGTTCGACGCAGTAAAAGCGCAAACAAAAATCAGGGACCAAAGCGGTTTGGAACTCTAATAAAGCATTCAGTCAAGGAAATCAGCACAGACGAGGATATCGCTGATCTCAATGAACTAGCGTTGGATGCGAATTAAGCAGGAACTAGCAAATCTGAAAACGGACTCAAGCCAACCATCGGAGACAAGACTGGGTCTTTTGGAGCGTCACCTATTCCGGAGAAATTTCGGGTATCCAGCACTCGAACATTCAGACTATGGAATGCTAAGTGGAAAGTACTACTCAATCTGACACGTTACACTGATATTTATTTCTGCACCAACCGCTACACAAACTGAGTCGAAAAGTCCTTGATGATATTATTATAAAATTTTATAGGTATTAATAAAAATTTTGTTGGTCCTCAGGTGAATGTGGTACTGCGGTTGCAGTAACCTTGAGTGACAACATAGTTATTACTGCAGTTGCAGTAAACGTATTATTGATATTATATAATTATGCTATTGATTTTATTACGTATGTGTGGTCAAGGCCAACGGTGGTGTTTAGAAGTTTATTTATTATCAATTAAGTGCGCCATACGCATGTATGGAGTAAGCCAGCTAAGTTTGAGCTACGATCAAAACAAGAAAAGAAAAGAACCTGAATTCAGCTCTCAGAATATCTGTGTTTTACTTATACAAAAACAACTGAAATTTGGGGTTATCACACTGTCGAACGAAATTCGCTTTGAGGAGAACATGCTACAAAAACTTGTATAATCATCCAAAATGATCATTTGGGTAGACTTCTATCGGGTCGTGAAAAATTGTTGTTCAGAAAACATTTAGCACGTTTTTTTAACAATTTTGCTGGCGCCACGGTTGTCTGGCAAAAAGGGAATAGTTTGGTGTTCAAAAAGAGCTCGGAAAATCCATTCAATTAAGCTAAAATAAGTCAAATGATTCGCAATTTTTTTGTTGAAATCTACCTGTTTACAAATTCCTGAATCCGAGGAAATTCGTAATACATAGACGAAAGCTAGTATCAAAAATCACAAAAACTTTCATTAACTGCCAAAAAAATTTCATTAACTTTCACGATGATTTTAAACTAAGATCTGATTAATTGAATCAGAAAAATGACCCCAAAAATTGCATTTAATTCTTAACTATGAACAGAACAGCGGTTTTACGCAAAGAACTGAACAGCTTGTATATATGTCCTTTGTTTCGCGGATAATTTGTACCAAAAAACGGAAGAACTGATATGCAATTAAATGGAAACTATCTGAATCGCAGAAATAATCTTAGCTCTATAATTTTTGCTTTTTGAAAGACTTATTAGCAACTATGTTTTCAGAGTACCTGCATGAAATCATTATGGTGGACGACCACAGTGATCACTCTTACATTAAGGACACTCTTCCTTCTGCAGTCAAGTTCTTATTCCCGCCTCTGGTAAAATTAACCCGCAACAACCGACGTCTGGGACTCATCAAAGCACGCATGGCGGGAAGTGACAAGGCAACAGGGGATGTGTTGGTCTTCTTCGATTCACACGTGGAGGTGGGTCCCGGTTGGCTGGAACCTCTTCTGCACCGAATCAAGCAGGACGACAGAGTGGTTGCTCTTCCTGCTCACGATACTATTGTTAACACAGGATTTGAGTTTTCGGGGATGCAAACCAGTGACAATCAGGGTACGTTTAATTGGGGCTTACTGCAACAATGGCAATTTCTACCCGATTTCGACAGGAAATTAATCAAAACCAAAGCAGATCCAGTGAGGTCTCCGACTATGTCTGGTTGTCTCTTCTCTATTTCCAGAAGATGGTGGGAGCATTTGAGTAGATTCGACCCTGGATATGAAGTCTGGGGCGCCGAAAACCTGGAACTTTCGTTCAAAACGTGGATGTGCGGCGGACGTATGGAAATCATACCTTGTTCGCATGTTGCTCATCTGTTTCGTTCAGGTTCCCCGCACAAAGGTCACGTGGACAACTATTACGCAAGAAACCAGAAGCGACTAGCCGATGTTTGGCTAGACGAATACAAAGAGATCGTTTATTTACGACATCCGGAACTAGTCGGTCTCGATTCTGGAGATATTTCGGGGCAGGTCGCCCTACGTAAAAGACTTCAATGTCATCCATTTAAGTGGTTTTTAGAAAACGTAGTCCCTGATTTATACGTTCCATCTGTTAAAATTCAAGCAGGCGGTGGCTTGAAAACATTCAATGGTAGATGTGTTGATACCATGCAAAAGGATTCCGGCATTGCTCAGTTATACCACATGTGCCACTTTAAAAACTCACAAAACTTCCACCTTACAGAAGAAAATGAAGTCCGAGGCAGCGTCGAAATATGTCTTCAATCCGACCAGCAACACAGCCGAGTTGTCATGTCTAAATGCGATGGGAACAAAAATCAAATCTGGAGCCACGCTGGTCCAAATACGACTATCAAAGCCGATTCAATCCGCTCCTCAAATATGTGTATTACAGTTAACGGAGATAATCTTGAGTTAGCGGACTGCAATCCTGACGATATTAAGCAACTATTTTATTTTCAGTTTTATATGAAATAAAACAAAGCCAAAAATAAACATTAAGATCGCTCATTGGATGCATATACGATAACGACTTTGTGAAACTTCATTAAAATATATTATACGTATATATTAAAAGGTTAAATTGATCGCTTTCAATGAAATTCATATCACTAGTCTTATTTAATCAACTGATGAGGAACATCAGCAGTAAGTTTTAGTGCAAAAAGCACGTGAATAAAATATTTGATAATATTTTTCGAAAAATTTTTTTGTGCGCATAGAATGAGCATGCTGCAAGCGGAGTCAAACAATTATCGGCATGTTTGAAGAACAGAAAAAAAATACCAATAAATTAAAAAAACGTTGTCTTTTCTTTCTAATCGGTATAGTAAGATGTATCCATGACTAAAAAAAAGAATAAATAAAACAAAAATCAAGTCCTTTGATCAATTCTGATCAATTTGATCATTCTGCTCATTGACCCATCACCGCTGCATGCACATTTTATCATGCACCGAATTGAGTTTGATTTGCTTCATTTCAAATTTGACTATTATTATAAGCTGAATCTGAAACAATTTACGCCATACATTTTTTGGTTCCGCATTTTGAAACAAAAACAATTGACCTGATTATATATAAAACTAGACTAGTACTTTTTGAAGAGGGAATAGTTTAAATCCTAAGTGGGGAAACTTCAGCCAATCAGAGTCGAGCAGTTTACATGCTGGGATGTTAACTTGATCAACGAAAGTTTTCGAATGCTTTCAACTGTTCACTCCGCAAATATTGGAAGTTTGACATTGTGCGAACACCCTCAAAAAGTTGGAAATTTCTAGCATGGTCTCAGTCAGGGGCGGATTTAGAAGGGGGGGGGCGGACGCTCCCCCTCAGGGATTCGACCCCCTGCCGACCCAAAGGGTCCCCCCTTTGATACTTTTTCAGAAAACCATTTTTGGCCAACCTACCCTAAAATTTTTCTAAAGGCGCCTTGGGCGCCAATATATACTAACTTTGAGGGGGAGCACGCGCCAAAAAAACGCGATTTTTTTGTCAAAATTTTTCAAAGTGCCCAAAAACGGCTTTTTTGACTGTTTTTTCAAAAATTTACCTGCGGCGCAGAAAATTTTGCCAAAATAGGGGCAAAACAGTGCTTTGGGAGAGCTCGAAAAATCAATTTGGTCGACCTAAAAAAAAAAGTCGTCGAAATTTTGGAAATTTTTTGAAAATCCGCCCCCCCCCTCGAGAAAATCCTAGATCCGCCCCTGGTCTCAGTTTTGTCACCAATTCAATTTGAGAAAATCAAAACAAGATTGAAAGTTAACGAATACTCGGTGCCCTTAGTTTTGATAAATATTTAGAAAAAACACCGTGTACAGAAAAACAGTTCTGCATTTGCTGTTATTCAGATCTAAATTTAGCAAAAACTGGATGAAAATGGGCGAGTCTCCATTTCTTATTTCTGCTATGTCGAACTTCAACAGCATATTTATGATTAATTAATAGGGAAGGCTACTCAGGTGAAAACTAACTTTAAGTTTAAAGGGGTAGCATGCGCCGGAAAAAAATCTGCTCCAAACACTCGAGAAAACCCTAGAATTGCCTCCAGTGTATGATCTAGCATACTTTGAAACCATATTCCCGAACCAAAATATCAGGATTGCACTTTTTTCTGGTTTTATATTTCATATAATAGAACTAGGAGCTATCAAAATTCTACTACCCAAAAACTTTAAAACATTTCTCTTCTCTTTTCAATAAAAAGCAGTTATAGCTGTCAGCTTCAGCAGAGTCTTTGTGTTCAATTGTTCCGATCACACGATGTGGGAAGAATTGGGGCGTAGCTTGAGATTTTCGCCCTCATTTTGATCAACTCGAAAAAAAATTGTTAAGTGTGGTTGCGTTAATTCAGAATCCAAAAAATCGAAAAAATACTGATTAAAAAACAGCTCAGAATTTATCCTTTTTGAGATTATATGAGATTAAGATTTACAAGATAAAATTGAGCTTTCAGATTCTTTATTTTTCAATTTCTAGATCTTTTTTGCTAATATAACCTCTCATTTGGCAAAAACAATTAACTTTCCGAATTTTTACCTTATCCTCTTGTTTTTTACTGTTTTACTTCAACCCTTGTGGTCGAAAGATTCTGTGCTTTTTGAACATCAACCAGTTAAGCTTATTCTAATCTAATTTTTTTTGTCAATTTTAATATCAGATATACAGTTATTTGGATAGGCAGATTAACAACGAAAATAAAAATCAAGAAACTTTTTCTTCGTATTTTTTTTTGCAATCATTGCGGTTAGAAAACCCTGGTGTGATGTTTGTTTTAAGTAAACCGAAATCAATGCTCTTTCACTATATTTGGACACTATGATAATCTACATCCGCATAACAAGGATTGCTATACTCTTGGTCAAGTATAATTTACTAGACTACTTTCAGAACAAAAATCATTGATGATCTAAGAACTATCTTCAATTTTAGACTTTTTGCAGCTTATTTCTCCTTATACAGCGGCAGTTCTGACATCGTACTGACCTCTGGTACTGATTTCAGTGTTGACCTATACCTAGCAAAAAAAATTGCCGCAGTTATAAAAAAAATTAACTCAACTATTCGGCATATGTGAATTTTGTACCTTGCAACGAATTTCCCCCTTTTGCAATTGGAGGGAAATTAGTTAACAAAGATCCTTTTAGTCAGTAATTAGACTGAGAAAACTTTTCTCAGTCAAATATTGTCTCTGGTGCTAGATATTTCAGGTTTGTTTTTAGCAAACCTGTCTTTTAGTAGACTCTAAATAATTAACAGTTCATAATTTTAACTTCAAATTAACTTTAAACGCAGGATTGGAAAGTAGTGAACGCTTGCTTTGCTAGGCTTTTTCGGCATGAGAGAGCCGAAACAGAAAATGGGTTCAAGAGAGCGCAAACTTATTAGCGGAAGATAATTTGAAATCTGAAAATATCTGAGTTCTGTTTGCAAATTGCTGGCCATTTTCTTGAATTCTGTTTCGTTTTGGAGCAAAACCGGGGCATACAACAATGCCGAAGTATAACAGTACCAAAAAAGAAAATGTTCAACAGTTTCGAAAATTATTTTGAATACTGTTTTACTGATCCCAAATCACTGACAAGTATTTTAATTCAAATCAGCGGAAGTTGACAAGTCGAAAATGACCAATTTACTTGATGCCGCTTGCTAAACAACCAAATTTCCCAAAAAGCGCTATCATAAAATTTTCTGAACAAACAATTAACTAGTAAATTGTCAAATTTTTTTTTCGGTTTCGCTCCAAAACACAGCTTCCAGTTTAGGCACTGCTGTAATTCAGATCTGTTCAACGCCCCCGCAAAACCAAAAAAAAATTGACAATTCCTGAGTTAGTTGTTCGTTCAAAAAAACCATGACACCGTGCTTGGGCATTTTTGTTAGTTCAACAAGCGGCATCAATTAAAATGGCCATTTTTGACTTTTCAGCCGTCGATTTGAATTTTTACTTGTCATTGACTTGTGGTTAAAAACAGTATTCAAAGCAATATTCGGCACTGTTGAACAACATTTTTGATCTTCAGCATTGTACTTCGGCACTGTTGTACTGACCCGCGTAAATCAATGTTAAATGATTATGTTTTTGAAAAAGATCAATGTTCTTGACAAAGTCGGAAATAATTGTTTTAATTAGAAAAACTCAGCCCAAACTAACTTTATTGCGCTTTCCAAAACAATGAGTCAGTTGAAGAACCAGTTTTCAATTTTTATGCTAAAAGATTGACATGCTAATTGAGACCAGCTATAACTGACATCTCAAACACAGATGGGACGTTCTACTTCGCAAATACAAGCAATCTCATAAGTAACTCAAAATAAAACTTCACAATACAAGCTATGTACCGCACCTTGAGCTATATTCCAAACGCTTTGTATCGCCGAGACACACTTCGTCTTCTTGACACACTTCAACTGACCGAACGAAATTTACACCAGTGTTGCCTTCAAAGAGTTAAGGTTAGCTAACGAAACATGAATGTCAGAAATTAAAACCAAATAGGGGTGGAAAAAGAGAGGGTGGCAAAAGAGAGTGCAATGGGAGGTCTGAGAAAGAGGCATCCCCCTGCGTGGGCTATTATTGAGAAGGGTCCTCTATTTCCACTAATACTCGGAACAGATACCAGCCGAACCTCCAGTGACCTCCGAACACAAACAAAATGCAACAGCCTTGTCTTTGAAACAATTTTCAGACAAATTGTCCGTAGCGTAAAACATTAAATTCAAAATATAAAATTTGACCAAAATCTAACCGCAGTTACTCCGTGCAATTTATAAAAAAGAATACGAAAACAGGATGCACTACAAAGTACTTATAGAAACTCAGTTTGTATCCAACTTTCGAATACTTCAAGCGGAATGAGTGGCTGATCTGAGATGACCTTGACAATGATTGGATTCAAGTTGAACAGAATCAAGACACTGAGTTGCTTGGTAAGCTTCTCTTCGTACAATTCAAATTCGACGTTATAGGCGAAGTCGGGCCAGGTGAAGTCGAGTGCTCTGAGCGCGAGTCTGATGGAGTTGATAGTGGTATCGTGACCACTTAGTAGACAGATAGTACTTTCATCTTCGCGTTTCAGCAGTCGCAGAAGTTCTTGGAAGAGAGCAGCAGAGGCGAGCTTCAAGCCGTTCTCAACTAAACAAAGTTCTGATAGAGCATACTTTACACAGAGGCTTTTTCAAAAAATGTGTCGACCTTTTTTAGGTCGACCAAAAAGATTTATCGAGCGCTACCCAAGCACTAAGAAATTGGCAAAATTGAGAAAAAAAACAAGCCAAAAAAAGCGGTTCCAGGCATTTTTGTGACGGTTTTGAAGCAAGCGTATACTAGTTGCCAATGCTTTGTTACGAATTGTCGCTTGTTACGAATTGTCACTAGTTACGAATTTTTGCCCAACACGCGCTCCCCTCAAGTTAGTAATTATTGGCGCCCAAGGCACCTTTAGAAAATATTTAAGGTCAGCCAGTCAAAAATAGGGGTCGTAAATAGTACCAAAAGAGAACTTTTGGGTGGCAGGGGCCGAATTCGCTACTGTCTACCCCCTCCCAATCCGCTACTGGAACAAAACTTACGAAGCGGAAATAAAGCCAACAATCTTTAAGCAGACACCAGTTGATCCGGAAAAATTGATTTTGCAAAAAGAGTTTTAAGTCCGCCCTGAAACTGCAACGAACAAAACTTGCAACTACGATAAAAATTGCTTTAAAGCACAAGAAAAGCCGGTGATGTGGCAACAAAGCCGAAAAAACTTTAGCAGACCAACGAAATCCCCGCAATTCAATTTCATACATACTGAAAAAACAAGGTTCAACCGGGACTCAAACCACATTTTTAAGGTGCTAAGGCAATCATCTTACCTCTATGCCAAATACGAACGAAACTGTTAGTTGTTAAGGTTCAATACTAAAGCAAGCAAGAAAAGCCAGCAAAGCTTGTAAGAAAAGTTGTTAACGGAAAAAAGTCTAGTTCCCGATTACAAGACTCTTGCTCTCGCAAGTGTAATTATTTACGAGCTCTAGTTTCTAAAGTCCTAATGCATACCCCAGAATCAAGATCAGCTGTTCATGAAAATTAAAGTCAATTTTGAGGCAACAAAAATATTGCTTAATTCATCGGCTCCAGCAAATAATAGTATTTTTCAGCCAACTAACATCTTTATGAAACTCTTTGGCGTAGTTGCAATTAATAGCAAAAATTGATTGCAAATTTCGGCAATTACAATTAATCGATTCTCCGAACATGTGATTTCGTGAGTGGCAATTATATTTATACCGCTCCATCCAAAAGACTCCACAGGAATTCGACACCCTCACCACCTAAAATGTCCCTCCCCTAATTTTTTAGACAACCAAAAAAAGTAACACTTTCCGCAAAAAGCAAAAATTTGATAAGGTTTTTGTTGATGCCGAGCTGAGAGCTTTGACCCTCTTACTTCGTGTCGGTCGGAACAAAAATAAAGGCAAGAAGACATCAGGTACAAAAAGCATTACTTCTTGCACCCCCAAAAGTTTCTACTAACTGTTCAATGTTTCCATGGCGACAGTGTAGCTGCAGAACCGCTCACTCTTCTCCAGATCCGTCCTCGTCACCCCAGTCCCACTCAGCAACTTCATCATATCGAATGTCCAGAAGGAGCAAAGGTAGTCCCGCACGTGGTGGAGATTCAGATCCTCTGGATCAATGCCACATTTCTTCTCCATCTCCGCTGCCCATTCTGTGTAGCCTGGCACAAACTGCGCTTTCCGCTTGTGATTATGCGCTGCTCTCTGGGACTCTTTCAACTCAGGATATCTAAAGGAAGAAAGGATCTGGCCAAAAATTCAGGAGAAAAAGCAGCAGTCCGAAGGCCGCAATTGATGTCGGTGAACGTGCAGAACGAGTATTTGCGATAATTTCGCATGCGATATATTTCAAGTTACCGTCTGAGATCAAAGAATTTACCTATCTACGCCTTGTTGTAGCAGAATTTCCCCCAATTTCTCGATAAAAGTCAAAATTTTGATATCAGGATATGCTGCAAGATTTATCACTCAAATAAAAAACACTGTCATATTTCCATGCATATTTTCCGTGATTTTTTATGCGCACAATTTGACACTTTTTTAACTCACTATTTTTGGTAATTAAAAGTCAACAAATCTAGATATCTTTTTCCAAACTTGAAACATAGCTTGATCTTTCTATTTCATTCTTTTTACGAGTTAATCACACAGAGGTTCACGTGTTTCTAATTTATTCAAATCAAAGTTATCCGCAAAACATCAGACGCATAAAATCTGTCTTGTATTCACTATACGGCCAAATCGGCGAGAACGAGAGAACCTTATTACCGTGCAAGTAGCTCAAAACTCAAAGACTAGAGTAGTTATAATAACGTCGTTTTCTTGGTAGGGGGGCAGTATTGGAACTAAATGTCAAAAATTGAATAACAAAATCTGAAAAAACTAAAGAAATAAATCTGATAGGGAGCGTCGACTCCCTATCCACTAACCAACCGAATATTAGTCTTTAAAAATTTTTTAAGCCAAATGGAAGTTAATTGAAACAAGACTGCTCGCATATCAGAGTAAAGCCTTGAATGTTCTGACTGCACTTAAGGTCAATTGAAAAGTTTTTTTTTCGTTAAATAATTGACAAAATTATTGAGAAGATTTTTTTTCATTTCTTCGTTTTATCCCCTCACACGCTATCTAAAACACTAACGTTGTGTTTAGCGTCTCGTATTGTGATAATAGGATTAAATTGCTGGCCTCAATTCAATTTGGAACGCATTAATTCTTACGAGTGTTATGAGTAAGCAATATATCGCACTTTAACTATCCCAAATTAACCGAATTAGCAATTTTCAAACGACCTTAATATTACGAAAAATAATCTCAGGTGAAATATCTTTTTAAAATTGAGCTTAAAATAACAATATCTCTCAGATGGTATAAAACTTTCTTATCAAAAACCCTTAGTGAACAAGTCGAAAATGGACTGAAAAGAAACCACACCAAGAATAAACATTCCGAACTTTCTTCGAAAATCCGAACAATAAATATTAGGACATCCAATCACAAAGGTACGCGCTGCGCTACATTATGATATCTCATTTGGACATCTTCGAACTTTTCTGACAGTTTCTAAAATCGCGTCAAAAACCATCCAAGGTTGGATTAAAATAAATAAAGATAGCCAACAGACAAATGAAGTAGTGTTCACACAGAGACGAAGCTGAGCTTCGAATCATTTGCGATACAAAAATAAATGACTTTGATTAATACTATAGGAATATACACCTCAAAAATCTAAAAAAAAACTTCAAAAATAGTTTTTTTTTATTGTCAAAAAGATATAACAACTGGAAAAGGACGCAAAAATTCTTGGAACAAAAGTATCTGCACCACTAGAAAGCTTCCAAAATGTTGTGCAAAAACTAGTTGTTCTCTAAATAGTCGAAAAATTTCTGTTTCCACAAAAAGTAGGTTCCGAGTGGAATCGAACTTCCGGGATTTCTCGTCTCAAGAATGGGTGTTACTACTGCACCAAATGCACAGAACACTCCTTGAACTTATAAAAAAAAACTTGCAAAATTTTTTAACACAGGCAAAGTGGAGTTTTTTTCAGAAGTACAAAAATACTGTTGAGAAAAACTAGGTCTACTAAAATTTTTGACAATTTTTGAGCAAAAATTGTCGACAAAATAAGCCGACAATTTTTGAGCAAACACCAGTTGAACTGAAAAAAAAAACAATGATTTTATGAAAAAGTTTCAAGTTGCCTAAAAACACAATGAACAATAGTTGTAACCATAATGAACATAGCCAACTGACAGTTGAAAAAGAGAGAACGCAAAAAAACTGACTTGTGTTTTGAAAAAATCGTAACCTTCGAATTTCGAAAATAATAGATGTCCTTAAAACTCTTTTGAATTTCCAGAAATTTCTAAAGTTTGCACTTTTTTCATAAAACTAACCCAATTTGAGAAAACTGGATCATTGGGTAAAGTTTTTATTCCGCAGGGAAATCTGATAATTAAATTTCATTTTTAAAATTAGATGTCGATCACGTTTTTCGTGATTTTTAAATTTGATAGTCGAGTTTCCTTTCCTTTTACCAAAGGAAATGAATTGAACTTAAAAAGGAATCAAAAGTCAAACCGCGAAAAAGCAAATTTGAGCCTGAACAAATTTTATGAGTTTTTCTGAAAAAAAAAACGAAATACAAATCATCGCGACCTATAGAAGAGTCTGAACTACGTTCATCGAATTAGAAAAACTAGCACGGTCTCGGATTCGGACCATTGATCCTTCGCGACATATCCCCGATCCTTACCACCACACTACTGGACCCACATTTTCATGAAAATGACCTTGATTAATAAAGCAAGCTATCGAATTATTCTGTTAAACTAGTTGTTAACTAGAAAAAAAGTCTATATTCCAGTTTGTTAACGCTTGCTTATCGCAAACGTAACAAACTCAAGGAAACCAAAAAATAATCGAAATTTTTTTTGAACTTTCAAAATACGAAGCAAAAATATATTACCTTAAAGCTCTTAGAACTTCAATAATCTTTTAAAAACTTATTAAAAAACTTAGAAAACGTTTTACGTGCACGATTAGAAATTTTACAAAAAAAGCTTTTAGAATGCTACAAAGAAGCAGATTTTTCAAGAAATCCTTCCCGCGGAACTAAGCCGTCAAAAAATAAGCAGATCGACCATAATCTAAGCTAGCCGAAATTTTTCATTTTGGAAAAAAACAAGTGTGGACTAGAATCGAACTCCCGAGCTTTGTTATCTGAAGCATGGGTGTCTTCAAGAATCTTTTATGATTTGCAATGCAATTTTTTCACACAGAGGGGAAGCTGAGCTTCGCACCACTTGCCAAACAAAAAAATAAACGCCTGTGATTAGAATGATAAAGAAAAGAATGATAAAAAACTTAGAAAAAAAAACTTAAAAATCGTGCACGATTAGAAATTTTACAAAAAAAAGCTTTCCAAATGCTACAGAAGCCAATTTTTCCAAAACAGTCCTTTCTGCGGAAATAAGCCGTCAAAAAATAAGCAGACATACCATAATCTAAACTAGACAAATTCAACTCTAAGAATTTATCCTGAAAGAACAGAAATTAAAGATGAACCACTTCGTGCATTAACTCGTAATGATAAACATCACCTGCTACTAAACAATTTTTGCTACAAGCGGATGAAGCTTACTATAAACTCCACAACTCAGCCACTTTTAGTTGAAAAAAAATACGCTTACCCGCAAAGCGTAACTGCCAGCGTTCATTTACGTGACCGACTTAAACGCTTACATCCTCAAAAGATTTCATTGCAAACAAAAACAACACATGACAAAAAGGAACTTAAAAACCTATAAAATACTATTTAGAAAACCAACTACTGCAAATTACAACAGCTAAAAGGACAACGGGATTCGAGCCTCGAACTTCCCTCTTAAGAAGCACTTGCCCTAATGACTAATCCACTACAGCTTGGATTACACAACTTTCACCCATATTCTACAAAAAGGCAAAACTGCATTTAACAAACGCAGAAAAAAGCAAAAACGACCAGCAATAGCTCTAAAAGGCAAAAAAAAATCCAATAAAAAAGATACAAGTTTTGAAAGAAAATTAATTTGAACAGAAGCGAAGTGAACAGAAAATTAGACTTGCCCAAAACCGTATTTGCCTCTTTACTAAATAAGTAAGAAGTGAGAAAATTTTTGAGAAATTGCAATCTTCTGAAATACATAAAATTTTTGATACAAAAAATAATGAGTCGACGCTTCAGTAGGAAAAATTCTCGCAACTGGTTATTTCGATTGAACCCTTCATCTCAGATTTGATTAGTTCTAAGAAAAAAAATGTCTGAGAAACAATTTAAGTTCTAAAACTTATATTTCCGAAATCCACAGCTTTTTTATGCAATCAGAAGGTCGTAGCCGCTTAAGCAGAGAAGACTCCCAAAACCGAATTTCTCGATTGAGAAACGGTTTTCTCGCTTCTAAAAACGGTCAACAAACCAAAAATTTGACATTTTCGCATATAATACCTTTTTCTGTAAAAGTATTTGGACGTAGCCACTTATGCAGTAGATATTTAAACAATCTGTTGTCTCGATTGAACTCAAGATTCGAGAAAAGTCAAAATTTCACAAAACGGTCAAAAAATCAAAAATTTGACTTTTCCGAGGGCCATAACTTTTTGTAAGAAAAATTGGGCGTCATCGCAGATGCAGAGGCGCTTCCCATAACCCGTTAGTTCAATTATAACCAAAATCTCAGATTTGGGAGAAAATTTCTAAGACAGCAAAAAAATCAAAAACGGGTCAAATATCCACCCCCTTAGACTTTTTCGAAGGCTGTAGACGGTAGGATAAAAAGAAAGCAGACTAGGAGATTATGCAGGCACACAGGGTAGCAAGCGGTATTTTCATTGATACGCCTTTTTTGAAATTCGGTAGAGCAGTTTTCTACTGAACTAAAAATTTTGCTGAGTCCCATAAATTTTCATAATACCTGATTTTGTTTAACAGGATTTTTTCGTCGTGGAAACTACCCAAAAAATGTTAACTAAACCAATACAACATACCAAAATTATTAAATCAAAAAATTTAGCAAAAAAAAATCAAAATCAGAGTTGGTAAAATGACAAATTACACAACATTCAATTATGGTAGAAAAAAATTCAGATTCAAAATAAAATCCCCCTTTACAAAGTAGGCCGATGAAAAATAGTTTCAGATAACATAGATGAAACAAAAAACGGAACATGAACGGACAAAAACTATGCCGAAAACCGAGAATCCGAAAAAACTCAAACTTTTTTTTCTAATTTACTTGAAAAAATAATGATTACCCGAAACGTACTCCACCTATTAATTCCTAGATGAAGTAGTTTTACTTGACTTTTCAGAAAAGTGAGCATGTCTTGAATATTACCATTCCTATAAATGAATCATAAATAAAAGCAGAAAGACCTTCATATGTTCGTTGAGAAAACTGACAGATTGTCAACTTTCAAACCTCCATAAAACTTTTCGCAAAATAATAGCAGGATGATTAACTTCTTATTTTTCAACAAATATTCAAAAATGCAATAAATTTCCCTACAACACCGTAAAACAAAACACTCGCAAAAGCTTGCTGATGTAAATATTAATTTCAATTTAACTACGAATACACTTTAAAAAAAGGATGCTATTTCATATTGCCAAAACAGAAACAAAATTGCTCAATGATATTGAGCACAAGAACTGAACACAAAAATTGGAAACTTGGTTGAAAAAAAAGAACCGATGTCATAACATTACGATTGCTGGTGTTCTGAAAAGATTTCATTCAATAGCAGAAGAAGTAACTTTAGGGGGGGGGGGGTCAACCCAGGGATTCAACCCCCTGTCGACCCAAAGGATCCCTCTCTGTACTATTTTTAGATATCCACTTTTGGCTGACTGACTCTAAAACTTTGGCCCCAAATATAATAATTTTGAGAGCGGAGCGCGCGCCAAAAAAAACGCGACTTTTCGATCAAAAGTTTTCAAAAAATGCCTAAAAACGCCTTTTGGCCTATTTTTTTTTTAAATTCAGTGACTTGGGAAAGCTCAGAAAATCTATTTGGTCGACCTAAAAAAGTCTATTTGATCGACCTTGCAATTAAAAAAAATCCACCCCCACCCCCCTCCTATCGAGAAAACCCTAGATCCGCCCACTCAAATTTTTTTCAGCTTAAATAAATCAATTTAGGTTTGATAATAATATGCTAATCAGGAAACAATTTGGTTTTAGGCTTGGCTATTCGACTAATGATGCTCTTCTATACACAACAGAAAAAATCATATTCCATCTTGATAAAGATAATGTAGCAGCTCTTTTTAGATCTCTCGAAAGCGTTTGACTCACTTCCACATCCCGTCCTCAAACAAAAACTGAGGAACCTTGGTTTTGAACCATCAGCCACTGATCTAATAAATTCTTTTCTAGAAAACAGACAGCAGCAAACAATTATGAATGGTACATATTCAGATTAGTTTAAGTTGGAGCAAGGTGTTCCTGAGGGTACTATACTAGGACCCCTGCTGTTTAACTTACATGTTAATGATATGTCAGAAATTCTAGACAAGTCAAGTACTCTAGTACAGTACGCCGATGATACAACACTGCTAAGTTTCCATTCAAATCCGATATCCGCTTTACAAATCAATGAAACCAGTTTCAACAGAATACTCTCATAATTTCATTTAAACCAATTAATGCTAAATGTAGACAAATCATCATTTTCTCTGCTCCATCACAAAAGAAACTCATAGAAAACTGCAAGTAGGAAATACCATATCAAAATATCTGAATCCGTCAAGTTTCTCGGTGTTAACATAGATGCATGTTTAACTTTTTTTAAAAAAGCAATTAACAAAGTGTTACATAAGAGGGCCAGTGCAATCCAAACAATCAAATGCATAAGAGACGAAATTACTCTGCAAACGAGAATCCTTTTACTCAATACCCTTTTATTAGGACATTTACACTATCCATGCATGCTTTGGAATGGTTGTACTGAAGAAAACCTAGACAAAATGGAAACCAAATAAAATGGGGTATACGAATTGTCAGGAACATAAACATAAGAGAATCTGTCACATATGTGAGGGAAAAACACAGAATTCCCACTGCTAGAGATATAATCAAATACAGATCAATAAAATATCTTCATGAATTAAGCTAAAACAGAATTAGCGCATTTAACTTCCTGCAGTTTCCGAATTCTAATTTCCGCTTTAATCATCGCACCGGCTCAATTCTCCTGCCAGGATTGTGTAAAACCGATTTTCTTCGAGATCATTCCTATTTACACCAACAAAAAGTTTTAATTTGGTAATTCAAAACATCATCTCCACGAAGAAAACTTGTACGCTATAAAACAAATTAATTAAAAAATGCTTTCTAGAGGATAAACTCTGATACATATAAATGGTAGACTCTTCCCCCTTACTTCTTTAGGAGAGTCTTAACTCATCTTAAATAATCTTATGTATTCAGTGACTGATGAAACATTTTTTAAATTCACGTATTTAATCATAATGAAAACTTGTTCTATCCACAATCAGTTTTGTAACTGCAAAAGTTGATGCAACAATAAAATATTTTCTCTCTTGCTCTCCCTGTTTGATACTTTAACATAATTTGAACTCACCGTTCAAAAATACCCTCTTTGAAATAGTTTAAATAGTTGCTTTAAAGGTAATGATAGCAAACTTTGCCAAGCCGCCTTCAGCTATGAAATTGTTCCAAGTAGAACACTAAAAATGCCAGCACGGTTTAAAACCATTTATCCACGAGGGAAAGGAACAACATACGAGCTGTACAGCTCAACACGGAGAACCGCTGTTGTGCCCCTGCTTAAGAACTACAGGATTTTTTTTGCTTGATTTTCTCGGCTGGGTAATGTTGCCTCACCCTCAAGCAACGAGCACGGATCATGGTGGGCCTCGAACATCCGACCTTTTGACTGAGAGGCGGTGACGGTTGAAAAAACCATCACCCAAAAACATAAAATTCCCATGAATTAGTTTTTTATAGTGCCTGAGCCAAGCGCTCTTTAAACGAATCAAACGTACACTGAAACTGGCAGAAACATGTAGTTCTTTTTCACGTCATCCAAGATATTAATTTGAATATTTGGCTTCGAACTGGCAAATTCCAAAAACCCATTCATAACAGATTTCAGTGACTCTATTAATCGCTCTGTTGGTGATGAAACTGCGCGTAATGCTCGACTGGGGTTCTTTTCGAATTCAGTTGCGAAGAAGGACTTGTAGCGACTATAGAGATCTTTTCCCATTTGAAACATCTGCTCTGCCCCTTTTGTAGTCAGCATTGCATTTGCGTTGATACTAAATCAAACAGGCACATTATTTCAATGAGCAGGTCTGCCGATTGACGCGTTTTCTGAAGTTATCAAGGGAAATTTGTCATTCAGTTTTGCTCGTCACCGAAAAGCACCTCTAACAACGGACTTCAAGAGAAATTAAAAATAGCTTATTAACGCTAGTCATTAAGCTAAACAAATTGCAACGTTTCTCTGTTCAGATTTTAGCAATATGAATATTACTGCAAATCAATGACTGGGATTTCATCTCGAAAAAATTGCAAGGATACTTTTTTTTTGAAAAATTGGTTTAAAAAAAAATTTGATCGTTAGTTGACCATCTATGGGATGTTTTTGGCATATGAGAGCTTTTGACATGGTATTTTTTGTTCTATGCAAGATTTTGCTACGATATCTTTTGATTTGACGTCGAATTGTCATACAAAACCTCTCGCTTTTAAGTTCAATTTAGTTACCTGCAGTCGAATTCCAAATTCAATCCTTCGCTCGGAATTATAGATACTTCTTTGTACATATACAAATCCTTCCTATTTCCTATTTTTAAAGTTTCCATTAAAATCCGATATCCGCTTTACAAATCAATGAAACCAGTTTCAACAGAATACTCTCATATTTTCATTTAAACCAATTAATGCTAAATGTAGACAAATCATCATTTTCTCTGCTCCATCACAAAAGAAACTCATATAAAACTGCAAGTAGGAAATTACCATATCAAAATATCTGAATTCGTCAAGTTTCTCGATGTTAACATAGATGCATGTTTAACTTTTTTAAAATAGCAATTAATAAAGTGTTACATAAGAGGGCCAGTGCAATCCAAACAATCAAATGCATAAGAGATGAAATTACTCTGCAAACGAGAATCCTTTTACTCAATACCTTTTTATTAGGACATTTACACTATCCATGCATGCTTTGGAATGGTTGTACTGAAGAAAACCTAGACAAAATGGAAACCAAATAAAATGGGGTATACGAATTGTCATGAACATAAAAATAAGAGAATCTGTCACATATGTGAGGGAAAAACACAGAATTCCCACTGCTAGAGATATAATCAAATACAGATCAATAAAATATCTTCATGAATTAAGCTAAAACAGAATTAGCGCATTTAACTTCCTGCAGTTTCCGAATTCTAATTTCCGCTTTAATCATCGCACCGGCTCAATTCTCCTGCCAGAATTGTGTAAAACCGATTTTCTTCGAGATCATTCCTATTTACACCAACAAAAAGTTTTAATTTGGTAATTCAAAACATCATCTCCACGAAGAAAACTTGTAAGCTATAAAACAAATTAATTAAAAAATGCTTTCTAGAGGATAAACTCTGATACATATAAATGGTAGACTCTTCCCCCTTACTTCTTTAGGAGAGTCTTAACTCATCTTAAATAATCTTATGTATTCAGTGACTGATGAAACATTTTTTAAATTCACGTATTTAATCATAATGAAAACTTGTTCTATCCACAATCAGTTTTGTAACTGCAAAAGTTGATGCAACAATAAAATATTTTCTCTCTTTCTCTCCCTGTTTGATACTTTAACATAATTTGAACTCACCGTTCAAAAACATAGGCGCTACGCGCAATACACCGAAGGCATAGAAACTGAAGCAAAAACCAAACAACTTGAACAACTAATAATTGAAGAATAACAGTTCTAGAACAAAAAATCGTACTAATACATGTATACACCAAAATTTTGCTGTATCGAGAAAGAGCCTGAAATAACAGTTCTAGAACTAAAAATCGTACTAACACATGTATAGGTTAAATTTTTGATATATCAACGAAGATCATAAAATAACACTTCTAGAACTAAAAATCGTACTAACACATGTATACACCAAAATTTTACTATATTGACAAAGAGCCTGAAATAACAGTTCGTGAGCTAAAAATCGTACGAACACATGTATACACCAAATTTTGCTATATTGGCAAAGATCATGAAATAACAGTTCGAGAGCTAAAAATCGTACTAACACATGTATACGTCAAATTTTTGCTATATTGACAAAGATCATGGAATAACAGTTCTAGAGCTAAAAATCGTACTAACACATGTATACACCAAAATTTTGCTATATTGACAGAGATCATGGAATAACAGTTCGAGAACTAAAAATGGTACTAACACATGTATACAATAAAATTTTGATATATTGACAAAGATCATGAAATAACAGTTCGAGAACTAAAAATCGTAATAACACATGTATACACTAAAATTTTGATATATTGATATAGATCATAAAATAACAGTTCGAGAACTAAAAATGGTACTAACACATGTATACGCTAAAATATTGCTATATTGACGAAGAGCCTGAAATAACAATTCTAGAGCTAAAATCGTACTAACACATGTATACACCAATATTTTGCTATATCGACAAAGAGCCTGAATAAACGTTGTAGAACTAAAAATCTTACTAACACATATATACACCAAAATTTTGCTATATTGACAAAGAGCCTGAAATATTGACAAAGGACCTGAAATAACAATCGTAGAACTACTAAATGTCGTACTTACGCATTGTAGATCAATTTCTATAGCTATAATAAAATACAAAAGATTGTGTTTGTATGTGTAGCAAAACGCCTCCTGTTTTACACCTAATACAAGTATACACAGACCAGTTAATTGAAACTACAGTGTACCTATTACAAGTATACACAGATCAGTTAAACTAAAGAAACTGTGTACCTAATACAAGTATACACGATCAGTTGATTGAAACTACAGTGTACCTAATACAAGTATACACAGCAGTTGAAATAGAAAAACTGTGTACCTAATACAAGTATACACAGACCAGTTGATTGAAACTACAGTGTACCTAATACAAGTATACACAGCAGTTGAAAAAAAACTGTGTACCTAATACAAGTATACACAGACCAGTTGATTGAAACTACAGTGTACCTAATACAAGTATACACAGCAGTTGAAAAAAAAATGTGTACCTAATACAAGTATACACAGACCAGTTGATTGAAACTACAGTGTACCTAATACAAGTATACACAAAAGTTGAAATAGAATAACTGTGTACCTAATACAAGTATACACAGATCAGTTGATTGAAACTACAGTGTACCTAATACAAGTATACACAGCAGTTGAAAAAAAACTGTACCTAATACAAGTATACACAGACCAGTTGATTGAAACTACAGTGTGCTTTACACTTTCTGGATGTCTAGTTGTAGACAAATTTTTGTTATGTCTCTCAAATGTACTCAAATCGTTCAAATGTACCTTGTTATATTTTTGATTGACTAGCAGTAGATGAGTTCTTTGTGATAATTTTCTTTGACTCTTTTTTGAAATTTACCATTACTGCATTTTATTCATTCTCTTAGAGGGTCACAGTTGACAATGCAGGTCACGTCGAAGAGTACGAGCATTTTGGACTACGTGTTTTAAGAATTTACAATCTGTTTTAATGTACGACCAATAAATTTTACACCTTAATTCTTAAAAAAAAAACATTTTCAATTCTTCCCTTGCCATTCTGAACAGGTGGTTACAAAGTTTTAGCTAGTCACTGTATGATTTTCTGCCAGCAGCTCAACTGGTCTGTGTATACTTGTATTAGGTACACAGTTTTTTTTCAACTGCTGTGTATACTTGTATTAGGTACACTGTAGTTTCAATCAATTGATCTGTGTATACTTGTATTAGGTACACAGTTATTCTATTTCAACTTTTGTGTATACTTGTATTAGGTAGTCTTAAGCGTACTACTAATAGGCGGTGTGTAAACGTGATACAACGCCTTGGGTGAACTCGAGCGTAATGGACGGGTTCTCGAGAAAGAACTCAGACAGGCTTACTTCGTTTGTGCATGGAGCGGGAAACAGATTTAAATCTATCAGAAACCGGCGTTTGTCACTAATAACAACGTGTGCAACATCTTTTGGCGTTGGTGCCCGACTGACAAGTCCACATGCCGGATTCTTGCACTTCAGAACTTTTCCCTGCAACCGAAAATGATTTCAGTTTTTATTCAACAACGATACAATAGTTTTCAATGCAATACAAAAGCATTGTCTGAATTACACACCTTGCTAAGTTCAATGACTTCAACATTTTTGATGTTGCACGAGGAGCAGGTGTCGTGGTTCGATTGTTGAATGCCCCACGACACAACTTGGACAACTTCGGTAACACAAGAGACCGCATCATCGGCAAGTGTTTATTTCACCTTTTCGAATTCGCCATTGGAGTCCATTGTTGGGACAATCGAAAGAGCCTGAATTGAATATCAGAAAACATATGCAAAATATATAAAAAGTTGATTTAGCAAGAACTCACGTTAACGACAGGTTCTTCGTTGAACAGTTTCACACGACCGTCTACTGTGACAATGGTTGACGGCGTGTGGATGTCATGTATAGGGTCCCAGACATTGACAGTCACCCTTTCACCAGTCTTGGTGGCAACTTGCAATTCATTCAACTCGTGATTAGGGAGATGCTCTACTTTTCTGCTTATAATTACGCAGTCAAAAGCAACTTCCCTGTCGACAAGTGCATCCATATTTGAAAAATCAGTGATCTAAACAATGGGCTAAACATAAATATCTATTCCCACCTCAATAAAGGATATGTATGTGTAAGAAGAATACTGCACGCACCAAATTGGGATTTTCAAATTTTTGCCATAAATGCTGTACAGACGACGTTCCACTGACTTTGGTATAACTGCCAACCATCAGTACCATTTGGCCTGGATCCCGTTTATCCGATTTTGGTGCCGCGCTTATTGAAACGGGTGTCTTCTCGGATGAGTATTTCATAAATACGCTGTGTTTTGATTTGTCAAAACACAGACCTCGCAGAACGTCGTTTTCTGTTTGTATGTGAAATTCAAAGAAGGAGTTTGCTCCCTTTTCTCGCAACCCTTTCACTGCATGTAAGAAACCACATGTCGGCGAATTCGATGGACTCGCGGGCGATTGTGCTGCTGAACTTGCATTGTCTAATCTGGCACGCTTGGGTGTAGTTGGCCCATCCATTTTATCAACAAGTTTCTTAAACGCAAAAAAAAATAAAACATTCCAAGGGAAACACACTAATCGACAGACTCCACAGCTTCTTAATAGAAAGCTAGACATCAGATACATCAACAATCAATTAAGGATAGTGAAAGAAAATAAAAATAGGTTTATGAAAACTAACAATGCTTTCGTATACGCATACATTTGTCTCCAACAGGTTGGAATAAACATGATCTAAACATGTATTATCGTTTGTAGTTGGTTGCGCGATTAGTGAGCGCAGTGACCATCCATCAAGCAAAAACCGTGGAAGACTACACTGCATCAACACATTCTCATTAAAATCTCCAAACATAACAGTGCCAACCTCGTTGCAAGTGTACATATCCAGACAATATCGCAAGGCAGTTCGCAGTTGAGAGTCAGTAGTCGCAGAGCGACGTCTGTGCACGCATATCAATACAGAGAGGTGACGACGAACGATGCAGAATTGAACATTT